TTATAACAATATACAATTACCAATTCTGAAACAAGCAGCAAACATTACGATTAAACAAGTGTCATCAAGTAAATACACAAATATGTCGATCAATGTTCCACTTACTTCTCATAAAAGTCAAGTCTAGTGGGATTTTAATGCACAACAGTCTCTCAGGTTTATGAAAATATTTCTCTAAGATAAAAATATTCAGTGAGTTATTAATCCCAGAAGTCAGAGGAGAATAGGCGGACATTTGGTGAAAATGTTGCTTGATCAAACAAATCTCATTGGGTGATATTTGGCAAAAACAACATGAGAGCATGGATCCACCAAATACTGTAATGTTTTGTCGCTTTTGTGCTGTCTTTAAATATAGTTTTTTAACAAAACAAATATGGTAAGCCTGATCTTAAAAGTAGACAGGAAGTTTGTTTCACAAACAAAATGTAGCAGTTGGGTGTGCTGCGGAGGAACTTGATACCCAAAATCTCTTCATCTTTCTGGCAAATTCTTAGCAGTAAATCAAAACTTTTGACTCATGCTTTTATTATTTGTTTCCTTCCAGCTAAACTGTAAAACAAGTGTACAGTTTTACAGTTGATGCAGTTATTCTCATTAACAAACAAACCAAAAACAAAAGCACTTTCAATTAAGCATAACTGAAAAAAGAAGAGCACTCCCACGATAGTGGCAGAAGAGGGCCTACCCGAGGCCTGCTGTTCCTCTGCTGGTTGCTAAAGGAACAGACACTCACCCTTGACAGAAACTCTGTTTTTAAAATTAATTTCAAGTCTATTTGAATTTCTTTGGTATTGCTGAAATTTTCTACTCTAATTTTTCCGCCTGAGAGACAAATTGAGAGAGTACATCGAGCACATCCAAAATGAATCTCTGTTTGATGTTGCTGCTTACTATTATTAAGCTAGAGTTGGCACTGCAGCAAAGCTATCTGCTGCAGGAAGTTACAAGGATAAGACAACTGCATCAGACTGAGACTTATGGTAAAGCGTAATGATTATTGGTTTTTGCCATGTGGAAAAACCCTACATTTATATAATGTAGGGTTTATGTTTTCTGCTTACCATATACCACTCACTAACAGGTGCCATGACAATAAGATAATTATTCATTTTATAATGCCACGCCTTGGTAATATAGTAGAATAGAGTGTAAGTTATTAAAATTAGATGGTTTTGTCTGGTGAATTCAGTTTTCAAAGGTGAAAATGAATGAACAAGTCATTGTTTCCTCTTCTGATTCCTTTTTCTTTACATGTGCTCAAGCTTTTATAAATGTTTTCAGTGGAGCTTTTCCACGGGACAAAATTGGTCTAATAAAAGCCAGTGACTTATTTTATTACATGACTTCACTTGCTCCGGAGCAAGTGAAGTCACATTACAGAGAAGCTGACCTGATTGAAATTATTATAATCTACTGTTTTTGATTTTTGGTTTTAACTACATGACAATTATTCATATGGATACATTTATTTTTCACTTGGCATTAGGTGAGATTAATGGCTCTGGTTGCATTTCATTTTGAATAAGATGTCTGTGTTGTAGTTTTTCTTTTCCATTTAAATTTGAACACTATATATATTATTTGTGATGAATACTTCTTACATTTATTTTTTATTATGTAAACGATCTTTTGGTTGCCCAAACACACTGCAGTAAGCACATGACTATTCTTTAAAAAGGTTGTTGACTTGGGGTTAACCTGCCAAACTTGCCAGACCTGTATTCATACAATGGGTTTCCGTGGAACCACAAACGGCTGTTCAAACGTTAAATGCCTTTTGATTTCATTTTAAAACCTGCAAAGAAATGCCTCCCAGTTTGTGGAGCTCAAAACCTGTTTCTGGATTCCCTGGTTTCTTTCTCTTGAAGAAGAATAGAATGTATTAATCTTTCACTCGCAATTTGCTCTTGCTTCAGGGGATGGTGGTTGAAATTGCACACCTGATGGGAGAGCAATCATTAATCCAGGTGTAGCTTATCTGTACAGCTTCTGCATTTTCTTTAAGCTCAAGCAATTAAATGCAAACTTTGCAGCAAAAGTTGCATTGTATTTCCACAAATGAATGGACTGAGTTGTCGTTTTATGTATTCCTTGGATTAAATACCTAAATAAAATGAAATAGGTTGGAAATGTACAAAAGTTGGCAATGATTTAAGAAACAATAAGTATATGCTTGAAATCAGTTTTTTAAATCAGCTTTTGTTTTTTCTTGTAATTTTATCATGAGATTTAGTTGTAGACATGTCTCACATTTCTGACACCACAAGTAGATCGTTTATAGTATTTGCAGAGGTTTAGTGTAGCAGAAGCTTGAAGACACTATTCTACTAAATACTGTCCTATATTATTCTGATAAGTACCCAGATTGTATAGGTTACATTTTGTACTTATTTATAAAGGATCTTAAACATGTTTCACTATGTTATACATTAAATACAAATTTCAACTAAATAGATACAAACTTTACAAGAATTAAATGAATCTTTTACACATGAGTGAACAAAGAAAGAGGGAGAAAGAGTAAATGTGTTGCTATATTTGCTTTCAGATCTTACCCACTTAAATGCAGCTCACACCCACAACAACACTGTGGTTGTAAAATCCCCACTCGCACTCTGCTGTTTACCAGCTTGGTGTAAAAATGTGGCCTTTCAGAGGCAGGAAGCATACAGACCTTGTGGGATTTATAAACTGACCAATATTAATTCCTTTATCATGATCAATTTAGACTAAATTTAGACTAAAACTCTTATTCTACAATAAGATGTCTACTCTTGGGGCCTTATTGTGTAAGTCTCTTACTTTTAAAGAACGCAATGCATTTAATGCAGCTTAGGGTTGTGCATTGGAGTAGCCATTTTGAACCTGTGTTCTTCATACAGTTTGCAGGAAACTTCAAGTTTTCCTGCAACAAATGTTGATTTTTAACTAATAACAATTTTAGATAACCAACAAAAGACATCAGTAGTACCTGGACATGTTTTATTATATCACTACCAACTGTTAAAGCTGTGAAACCAGTATTTTTGTTAGATTAGTTTTTAATTGCATTAAAATGGTAGTTCCATTGCCTAAACTACTGCGTAGAATGGCAAAACCAGCTACGCATAGAACACTGTCTCCACCTGGCAGGCAGGATGGAAAATGCAGTTACCAACCAGGGAAAATCCTTTCTATAGATGATGGTAGTGGACTTCTCATGTTCTGTGCAAGTCTACATAAAATACCCAAAATGCAGATACATAGTTTTACATGATGTTTCAAAAGTGTAAAAAATATGTAAAAACAAAAACAAAAATAGCAAGATTAACAATTACAATAACATTAAAAATAGTCTTTACAGGATTATAACAGAAAATTCTGCACATTTATCAGAAATAGAAATGTATTAAAGACCCAAAGATGCAGCTGAGCATGATGACTTGTTTTAATGTAAATAATGTGCATTAATATTTCACATTAAAAGGACAACAGACTCTTTCAAACACAGTGTATCACTGTAGTGTGGAAAACAGATAAGCAATAGCAGCAGAAATGTTACTTAAAAGTAAGTAAGACTAGTTTGGATGAATGTGTGAATATCATCAGGGGTATAAAGATCTACATTTATTTGGGAGCAGTGATGGTTATAAAGTCTTATCGTCACTGTGAGGAAATCTCTCCTTTAATGTTCCTTTGTGCATCAAGGAACTTGTACAGTATATCTATCTATATGTAGCAGTCTGTCAGTGATGGAGTTCTCTAGCTGAGCAACAGCTTCATGCATGAAGTAGGAGACACTGTCCAATCTCAGCCAGAGTTCTTCTGTCTTCCTCATGAGTTAGCCTTCCTCAGGAAGGCTAACTAACATGAGGAAGGCTAACTAACTTAGCCTTCCTCATGAGCTTAGATAACTATAAAGTAGGAGACATATTATGAAGCTGGACTAGATTTGGAACCAACTGGAACGGACACCAAAAGACAGTGATGTCTGGACAACACCTTTGCTCTGCAAAGTATCCATACCAATTCAAAGGTACAACCTGTATCTTATTGGTTTCTTTTATGAAAGACAAACACAACATAGCCTTTGATTGAAAAGTAGAAATAAAAACATACAAAGTTTTAATCTTATTTTTATTCACAGAATTCATTTGGTGTATTAAGCAATTATAATCATCTCATGAGCCATCTAATTAGTCAGCATCTATCTATCTATCTATCTATCTATCTATCTATCTATCTATCTATCTATCTATCTATCTATCTATCTATCTATCTATCTATCTATCTATCTATCTATCTATCTATCTATCTATCTATCTATCTATCTATCTATCTATCTATCTATCTATCTATCTATCTATCTATCTATCTATCTATCTATCTATCTATCTATCTATCTATCTATCTATCTATCTATCTATCTATCTATCTATCTATCTATCTATCTATCTATCTATCTATCTATCTATCTATCTATCTATCTATCTATCTATCTATCTATCTATCTATCTATCTATCTATCTATCTATCTATCTATCTATCTATCTATCTATCTATCTATCTATCTATCTGTCTATCTGTCTGTCTGTCTGTAGTTGCTAATTACCTACAACAAAACATGTATAAACATATGAAAACAGTCTTTGATCATCTTCACTCCTAATAACCTGCAGCACAAATACCTGCTCAACCGTTCAGGTTTTACCTTTCATTTGTTTTCCTCTATTCAAACGGATGATAAAAGTTTTTAGTCTTTGAAAAGACTGAACCCAAGATTCCTTGCTCAAACGTTCACTCGCAACTTTGAAAAACACATTGAACCGGTTCCAAAACAAGCATTATGTCAAGGCATTTTTCTGGACAAAGTCTTTCCAGAGATTTGAAAGAAATAAGAGCAGATCCAGCATAGGCCTGTGAGGAGGGACAGACAGTGATGTGTGCACAACAAAGTTATGTCAAGGTGTCCTGTTCAATGCTGGATGAGCTTCTCTTTAAACACGACAGAGTCAGACTTCATAGCTATAATTTATTTTCACACATTATGCATTTTACTTTGGAAACCAGTACACAAGGAAAGTTGTTTTTTTTTTTCAGCAGCTTGAAGAGTCAGCAGTACCACTTTTGAAGAAAACATCACATCTACACAACATTTTTCTCTTATTTGGTTGGACTTTTTAGTTTCTTCAGCCTTCTCCCTCCTCCCCCTCCTGGCCTTTCCCCTTGCCTCGCTTCCCTCCCTTTCCTATCTTCTTTTGGTAGTAGCATTTAGCGAGGTCGCTCACACACCGACAGAACTCGCGGAAGTTCACCTCTCCATCGTGGTTTTTGTCCAACATCTCCATTGCTTCCTCAATGTCACCTGCGCTGATTTTATCCTGGAGAACATGCAAAAGTAATGGTGTTAACAGCTGCAGGAACAATAAAAACAACGATGTGCACAAATGGTTGCACATATTTTCTTAATTAAGCTGCTTCACCTTTAAGTCGGGACTCTGGATTTCCTGTTCTAAGAGCTTTTTGAGCTCCTCCTTATTCAGCTGACGTTTCTTGCCACCATCATCAGCATACTCCATAAAAATGTCCACAATGTTTGTGATGACCTGATCCAGGCGGGCCATGGTTGAGACTGGACAAAAACAAACACTTAAGGTTGCAAGAAATGTAAGGAAAAGAGTGAAATAACTTTAATCATATTCTAGGAATGTTTGATCAGACATGCAAGCATGGGAATAATAATAGATACTTAAATGCTACAAGATTTTAACTTTTATAATCAGCATTAAATAATTTTCATGCTTTTGTTTTGTTGTTTTCTTTTCTTCTTCATAAAGCTTACTCTGAGTACTCACCTGTTTGTCCACCAGGTGAAGAGTGTGTTTGTCAGCAGCTTGGTCCCAACCTAGACTGCCGCAGGCTTGAAAGGAAAGACGTTCTGTTAAACAGTGGATCCGCTGTGTGTGACTCACACAAACACATGAATGGAAAGAGCCATACACACACCATGAGTGATTCATGCATATGAAATGTGCCTCACTCCACCCATGCCAGCCTCACAAGCTGGGTCTTTTATGTGTATAGCACACCCTAGCAGAAGCAGGCAAATATTTATGTCTGTGTACCAAAATAACTTACAAGCTTTTTTATTCCTTTTCGGCAGATCATTTTGAGTATATTGCTCATAAACTGCTGCATGAGTTCTGCTACAAACTGAGTTGATCAGTTAAGGCTGGAAAACTCCACTTTTAATGAAAACCAGCTCAGTGTAATCTTGAAGAAAGGAATGGAAGCTTGTTGTTGGGAGTTTATGTCAAACACAGAACCTATTTGTGTGCATGCATGTGATGAGTACATTTCTATCTTATTTAGACAGGAGATTTACAAATAAATCAGGGTTGTGTTTTATTTCAGGTTTGCTGCGTCCAAGAAATTGTAGTTCTGACTGTGTTTCTTTGTGCATTGGTCTCTGGTGGTTTTTATTCATTTCCTCGTGATCATTTTCACAAGAATTGGATTGTTGTAATAAGTGGCACATCCAGACCTCAAAAAAGGATCTGAAACTTAAGGTAGGCTGATTGTGCAAGGTTATTTTTTTACAGTGATTAAGAAGAGTATGCATATCCTTGTAATTTTTCTACTGTTTATTATTACAAAAATTATGAAAACAATGTGCAATTTTTTATGGAATGCGTTATCCTCTGCATACACATAGTTAAATTTGAGAAAAGCAAAGCTGTATCCATTTTGACTATTTTTTTTTAAATCCAGCTGATTGGAAGCATACAATAAAGAAAAGGAGAATGGTTTAATACCTTTTTCACCAAACTGTAACTCAGAAGTACTAATAAAAGAAATCAAGTTTTCTGTTACTGTGGTACAAAATCGACCATACATGAGCGTCTTGACTATATGCCCTTGTGCATGTATGAATCTGATCTCTTTACTTTATTCTGCTTGGTGTGACTCATTCTTGTTTTTCCACTCCTCTGTTCCAAGGCAGTGGGCTGGAAGCACTTTTCACTTCAATTTAACCCCCACCAAGTTCCCTCTCTGGATCAGTTCACTCTTTAACCAGGCCGTATTACCTTCACCTATTGTGGACTGATCACATTTCCTATGCAGGAGAGGAAAGGAAACTAAGCCTTCATATCACATGTTGCTGAAGACAAAAACATTAAACTTTAGCACCATCTTGTCCAGGAGATGCCTTACAGTTTCACTGCTGGAGAGGGACTCCTGCACCTCCTCAGGCTTAAATCCACAAGCTGAACATCTAAGAGCTTTTGTGTTTATGCGATTCAGAATCTAGGACTTAACAGGGTAGTAATTTATTTATTTATTTATTTCATTTTTAATTTTTTCAAAAAGTGATGCTATTGTTATGCTAGCACAAATGCATCATGTTTGACTACATACTCATTTCTCCTCAGTGATCCACAGGTTAAAGCTCATTTCTCTGTTGATGAGTTCTGGCTGCAGCCAAAAGAGCAGGTCTATTTTAAATGAGCTAAAGCCTGATTTCATTGGTTTGGGCTTTAGTTTGGGTTGAAGTCATGCAATGGAGAGAATCGCTTTTTTTGTTCAGTGCTCGCTTTATTTAACAGCATTGGCAACGTATCAGACTTCTCTGCTGTTTTAAAAGCCCCTGAACCAAATGCAAGCGATGCAGGAGAGCTGGAACATAAACCTATTTTTATATGTGGATTACTCAGTTATTACCAGGAAAGGCATCGGGTTTATATCGAGAGCTGGACCCAGGGTGCATAGGGTCCTGAAACAAATTCAATTCAGGACCTCACTTCCTGCTCAGCCTACAACCCTCCTATCATAACACAACCTCTGACATCACTGTTCAAGATTGATTATTGCAACAGGATTCTATAGATAAATATTATTGAGTGTTGCTAAATAATTACTTCATAATTGGCTTTAAAAAATGTATGGAGGCAAAACTTAAATGAAACTGTAATAAACTCATGAAATGAATGAGAAAAAAATATCCACTTCGATTCAGATGAGCCAAATGTAAATTTGGCTCATCTGATAATTAGTGATCAAAACTCCAATTCAATAAATGCTAAAATCATATTGAATTAAATGTATTTAAGTATTTAATATCCCCTGTTATGAATCTACCTAAAACCCACCAACTTTTTAATACATATTTTATTTGTAGTTTTAAAAATGACAATACTGTTGTCTGGCAAACTAAATACGATTTTAATTTGCAGGAGTTTTCCTAGTTGATCTTGAAATACATTAAAACTGTTTATGTGAATATTTAACAAGATATTATTAAAGCATAATGTGTTTACTTGTATCTAAAATCTTTTTGTTTCATAAAGCTAGTTTTACTTGGGTATGAGTTTAAAGCCCCTCAGCCTCCAGTTTCTGTTTTGCTATTTTATTGAGGTCAGGGGGTTTGGTGTCTCAGTGACCCTAAGAACAATACAGCAGGAGCATCAGCTTCAAATGCGACTCCCAGGCTGGAAAGATGTTGGGGAAGAGGCCTGATAAAACGCAATCAACTTTTGTGTTGTTAGACATAGTTTACCAATCCCAGGAAGACCTCCCATGAATAAAACACTACTCAACAATAACAATAGCAATACATATGCCAGAGCAATACATAATGTGTAGGCCTATGCATGTTCTTCTTGCCCCCATGGAACTTGCTGGAGGGATAATTTTGTTTGAAGATTACACAATCAGTTGTAAACCCACTCCCACAGAGGGTGAGTCAGCAGGAAACACCTCAGGGAAAATCATCATCCTGCCTGTACATGAATTACATCCATGTCTGAAACTGAACAACATAGAAGCATTACATGACAGCAAATCGCACACTAATTTGATTCAAATTCAAGTATACTTTTTTGATCCAGAGGGACATAAAATATAATAATAACTTCCTGTTATAATTTTGTCTGCCCTCAGGACTACCATACCTAACTCTTACATGTTTCAAACTGTTGCTTCTTTGGTATTTCCTGGAGAACATTGGTCTGTAAAGTGAAGTTTCAGGAGCAAAAACAGACATCAAAGGTGTAGAGGTTGTTACCAGGACAAAATGGTAAGTGAAAAAAGGTTCTCCAGTCACATTCAGACCTAAACCGTAACACCAAAACAAAAATTAGAAGCAGGCACTAAAGCACAAATATTTCTGAAGTCCCTCCATGTAAAGACTGAAGAGCAACTTACATAATAAAGTGAAAGGCATTTTAATGTAACTTCTCACTTGAAGCTTAGAGGTTGATAAAGATAATTGTAAATCAAAATTTGAGATGATGCAAATCTGATAGACTCTTTTTTGGCAGGTAAAGACTTCAGCAACACTTGAAGTGCTAGAAAACACCTTATTAGTCGACCACATGTTTCAGCTTGTTGCCTTCACCAGGGATCTGTTAGATATGTCACAATTTAAAAAGAAATAAAAGCAATAAAGTGAGCACAGTCTGTCCTTGAAGTGAAATTGAAGTTGCTTAAGTTGGTGCACAAAAAAAATTGCCTCAACAACTTTTAGGAATTACCTGCCATCTAGTGGAGAAAATTAGGTACAAAACATCGTGCTAGCAAGGATTAATGCTTTTATTAACTAACATCTGAATTGTTTAGTTTCCACAAAGCCTGTTTGAAGGCTCACATAGTAGAGTCAGACGTTTTCCAACTTCTTAGAAAATAAATTAATATTAAGTTTTGCAAACAGAAGCTAATTTTATTGTATCATAACAAAAGCAGGAGCAGAAAAGCTCTAGATAAATGCAGCAGAAGTGGCTAAAAAAACTTATTACTATTATTATAAAAAGAAAAACTAATATATTAGTGTATACTTTATCTTTCCTTCTGCTGATAAACTTTTTAGATTTGCTGATTTCATTTTTCTGCAGGACTTGGCACCTGCCCATACTGCAAAGGCTGACTTAAAGATCTTGGTGTTCCTATTTTTGGTTGTCCAGCAAACCTCCCTGACCTGAACGCCATGGAGAACCTACAGAGGATTGTCAAGAGGAATCTGACAGACACCAGACCCAACATTGCAGATGACCTGAAGGCAGCTGTCAATGTCAAAGCAGCCTGGGCTTCCGTCACACCTCTGCAAAACCACAGCCTTATGCTCTCTGTTTCCCTGCCGAATGAAACCAACCAATGATTGATTGCATAGGAATGAACCTTCTTTTCAGAAGACTGACATGTCGATTGAAAATATATATTTTTAATGATTTCATGTAACATTCACATTATTTTTGAAACACTGAATTTTGGGGTTTTGCAATTGGCATTCAAAAAGCCTAATCATGAACATTACAAAAAAAAAAAAAAAAAAAGGGTTTGAAATATTTCACTTTATTTGTAATGAGCTTATCAAAATAAAAGTTTCACCTTCTAAAATGAGTGGCAGGAAACATTTAACTTTTTGATACATTTTTGAGCTGCACTCAAGATTAAGCATTTCATCTCTGTGCTTTTTACCTTCATTTTGAAAATCCCACCCTCATCACTGTATGGTTCTATTGACATAAAAACATTTCTTTATTTTTACAGCTTCGTTGTCTAAGTTTTCTTTTGCATGTTTGGACACACCTGTGGATAAGCGCCAGGTTGTTTAAACCTTTGACCAAACATTTTCTTTGAACATGCAAGTTATTTGAGACATGCACAAACTTGCCAAAGAAATATTTTTCTTATGTGTTAATATAATCTTTATTTATGTTACTTCTTAAATTGAAAACATAGCACATAGTACAATACATCTTCATATTTCCTTCTGTACTTTTTTGGGGGAAGGGGGGTTTTCATTTTCGTTGTTATGAATTTGACTGATTCATGCCAATGAAATCAGTCAAATTCAAAAGCAAAGGTTTATTTGCCTTTTTTTTCAATTGAATGTACTTTTGTGTGTTACAATTTCCTTTGCTCAGACTATGTTAACAAGCACAAAATTAACTGTTCTGTTGAAATAAGGAAAGTTGTTATAAAGCTGACACCCAATCAGATTGGGTGTCATTCTTTGCAGATTTTCTGCAAAGAATGAACAGGGTTTCCTGTTCAGCAAATCTAACAATTTCTTTAAAAGGTATTTTTACTCGCACAATCAAACAAATCAAAAGCCATTGCCCCTGAAAGACTGATTAGTTCACGTTTTTTTTTAATTTAACCTTTATTCTATCAGGATAAAAACGCCTGCTGAGATTAAAAATCTATTTTTCAAGGGAGTCCTGACCAAGACGCAGCAACAAACATAACAGAAATTTATACCATTTCATCAGGTGTCTGTTTCCTTCTCCAAGTCTTGTGGCACCATCTTCTGGCCAAAATAAAAAATATTTAAACTACAAGATATTCATCAGGGTTTCCATTCCGTAATGCCTGTAAAATGTAGAAACTGTAATCCAGGTTTTGGTTTAAAGCTTCCTGACTTATCTCTTTCAGGCTGTACTGAGCAAATAATCATCTGCAAAGAAAACTTTGACAACTTTTTGCTTTCGTGGTTCTCAAACTGGGGTAAAAATTCACCTGGTGGTATTTGGGCTGCGTTTTTAAATTATATCAGTTATCTACAAGGTGAATACAAATGGATAAATTGTAATGTTGAGTTTGTTAGAACAATTAGACAATGTGGAAAACTTAACGAATATTTGACCAAAATGTAAAAGCTGCTGGCTACATAGGATGTTTAGTTTACATTCCCACCTTCTGAGAATTACATCATCCACCTTCACCAGGGTGCAACTTGGTCAGTGACGATGAACTGTTAAATCAATAGCAACAGAAGTATTGGCTTCCCTTTTCAACAACAAAAATAAAAATGGCAATATAATTAATGATTGAAAAATAATGCAAAACAAACTAACAATGTATTTTTTGCATTTTATGCTAACACTGTAGCAGATTGACTAAAAGGGGATGAACAGTATAACTTTCAGAAATGCATATGCTAGTTAAGCCATTTTGTTTTAATCTGACCATCAAATCTATGAATGCAAAAATCTGTAGCGTCTAGTAGATGAGAAACCAGCCTCTTTTCTGAGTTCTGACTTAAAGGATACTCTCTATAAAGTTAACCAACTTTGAAAAATATATGATCAAACAGAATCCTTTAGCCAAATGCACAGCTTAAATAAATACAAACATTTTTCCCATTTTTGTTTTTTTTATTTTAACACACAGCACATGAATGAAAATGTTTGCAAATGTTTGTGGAATGGTTCTATCAGCATTGTAAAACTTGAAAATGTAATATTTTCAGAGGAGTTTCTTTGAGAACCACTGCTGACATGTGCTGAACAATGTTCATTCAGTTTAAAATTAATGATTTTTTTTTCTTTATAGCCATCTGGGTTAATCAAATTCAGTCTATTCAGTCTAATTAAGTTCCGTTTATTGTTTAAGTCAGTAAAAAGGTTTTCTGTCTGAGGAAATCCAGCAGATTGCATCACGTCATTGACTTTGCACCAATTCCTCCCACTGGACAAGCATGTAGCAACAACTGACAGCCGACTAAATTGAGTCATGTGTTTTTGCAATAACGCATGATTGAGAATGCATGTAGCGACAGTGGAGAAAACAAATCCCCTGTAATTGGACAGAAAAAAAAACCTCTCCTCCTCTTCATGGTTCAATTGGAGAATTGAGAAAACAGAGCAGACACTTACCCAGTATTTTCTGTTAAAGAAAAGAAATTCTTTCTTTTTCAGTATTGTGATAACATATTCTGGATCTACACACCAATCTTCCATCTTCCTGTGTTCTGACACAAACCCAGAAAAAGCTCCATGGTTTATATGTTCCTTGTTAAAATTCGAAGATGCAAGGTTTTTATTGGCCTACTCGAACTTAAACCTACTGAGCCCTCAATAAGTAAATTCCTCAGCTTAATAAAGAGCTGCCTCAGCTAAAGATTGAAGAAAGATTTATGTGTAAGATGAGTATCAGATGTGAACTTGTCAAAGCTCCAAGTTCTTTCAAAAGTGTTTTTCAGCTCTGGGAGAACTTCTCCATCCTAAAACGATAGCATGTTCCATTGCATAAAGCTACAGCAAGATGCAGGCAAAAAAAACCAAAGTGAATACAGTAATCAAGAAAACTGTAAATATTTTTCAAAAGTTACTTTTTAATGTGTCATTCAACTCAAAATATACTCTCAATCTTAAACAATTCATTGGTCTTTTGTCAGCCCTTCACTTCTTGCCCTTCTTTTCGTGGTGCAAAGCGTAATGCTTTTCACAGGCGATTGTCAGTCCAGCGACGAAGGGAACAAATTCCTCAAAAATCCGTCGTCCTTGTTCTGGTCCAAATCCTTGATGATGGATGACACTGTGTCGGGTTTTTCTGGGTCTGAAACAAGAGTCAAGCAGAAAAGCAAGAAGTTACATGCAGCCACTGATTCATCATATTAACAGGGCTTGGCCTTCATGACAGACAAAAGAGCCTTACTGTTAAGAAGTTGGGCAACTCATTCTCAATCAGCTTTTTCAGCTCCTTCTTGCTCAGGGTTGTTTTATTCCCACCTTCCTTGGCGTAACGGTGAAACACGGTGATCAGGGACTCCATGGATTTCTCCAACTCAGTCATGGCTGCAGCACAGAGATCTGAAAGGAGGGGAAAAAGGAGTGGAGTCAAGTTTCAGCTTTCTGAACTTATCTGCAGTTCTGTGTCAAAGACATCATTTCAAGCTTGAAAACACATTAATCAAACCCATTCTAGTGACTTTAAACTCTATTTAGCATGTCTTTAATGCAGAGTGAGCATCTATTTAATTTGGCTATAAAAGCGAAGTTGCAAACAGCTTCTGGTGCTTTCCCTAAAATCAACACACTTCAGAGAGGATGTGGGTGTTGGTTCAACTGGCACTCAAACCAAATTCTTCCAGACCGATATCATTTCTGGCACATACAGTTAAGCGTTCTTCCATTCGTTCCCCTTCTTCATTTTATTTCTTTAACCCTCCTGTTGTCCTCGGCTTATGTCGACCGAGGACAAGCCCTTAAAAAATATGTTTTTCAATTGCAGCTGCATACAGAAACTTTAATCTAACAGTCCTGCATCAGAACTATGGTGTGCACAACTCAGGGGGAAGTTTAGGCTCAAGCAATCCAAATGTGAACTTTACAAAAGAAATAAAAATAACCAAACCCAGGCCTCAGGTCAGACTGACCGGAAGACTAAGGAAATCACAGCTGGACAGGCAAACAGTATGGAATGGCATCATTGATCTCCGTAAAACTGATATCTTTTCAAATTTCCCCCCTCCTGTTGCCCTCGGGTTGACATGACCCGAGGACAAGCCCTTATAAAACATTTTTTTAATTGCAACTGCATACAGAAACTTGAAATCTAACAGTCCTGAATCAGACCTACAGTGTTCACAACTCAGATGGAATTTTCTGCTGCAGCAATTCAAATGTGAACTTGACGAAAAAAAATAAGAACAACCTCCTCTTGTCTTCGGGTCAAAATGACCCGAAGACAAGAGGAGGGTTAAGATTATTTAATAGAAAATTAAAGTGAAAACTAGACAAACAACAAAAGCACTAAACTGAGACTATTACTACTGTTAAGTCTCTACATAAAAGTCTGAAGCTACTGGAAGAAAAAGCTACTGACATTTTTATGTTTAAATAATCGTCAAAGCCTTACCAGATCAGGATGGAGCAGAAACGTTGCAGTGCAGGGTGCTTGAGGTTTGTGAGTTTATACAGGGAGTTACAGTCAATCCAGGAAACGCCTAACATGATGAGGGAGAGGGAGGGCATACCGGAGGCAGGGAATGGAAAAATTGTAGGAAGCACCATCCCTGTTCATGTTTTTCCACCCAAATGCAACAGCAGGAATGAAATCTTTAAGGCAACTCTGATATTTTAATGTAATGTGTATACAGAAAAGAAGATTTTCTCTCTTTATAGAACCTCTGGAACATTTTCAACAGTAGAAAAGGCCACAGAAATGTGTTTGTCATGCCTGAAGGGAAACAACTTGTACTCTCTGACCTGCATTGAATTATTCTTTCCCCTTTGAATTTCTTGAAAGATTGGACCATTATCCTCTGTGTGCTTTCTTTGGTTTTCATGTGATAGTGTGGCATGCATTTATCTTTTTCACCTTCATTCTGATTCAATAAAATAAAATCCAGTGAAACAAATAAGTCCTTGGTTCTTATTTTGTTGTGCCTGAGGTAGCAAAATATAACTAGTTTTTAAAAGTAATTTTTTGTGGCTGTAATTGAGATACAAACACAAGTAACACTTATTTTAAGGTTTGCTCACTGGTTTTCATGTTAATATTTCAAACTAATCAAGTGAAAAGCTGGTGTTTTTTCATGTTGTTATTGAGAAACCTCACATTCCTGTATCAACCCTGCTGACTAGATCAACACATTCCAAACTGAAAAAAAAATGTCTGAGCAAGAAAGTATTCAAAGACAGAAGATCTCTGACAGTAGGAAGGGCAAGAAATAAGCGCAGAGTGGTCATACATGCAGAAAAGTCTGCAGATTAAGACCAGTCTCCTGCTACAGATCCTCTGTACGTCCCACCCAGCTCCACCCATACACCACAAACCCCGTGACAGAAGAACAACACTTTCATCGTTTTTCACAATGTTTAATTACAAAATATGACAAAATAGCAGCTTGAGGTGCTGAGAAGTGAACAGAAAACCTGACGGGCTGTGCTAATCTCTTCATAGCCGCCAGCACCTGGAAAAAGCAGATGACTGGAATGTAGAGAGACGCTTTAAGATTTACTCTCAGGCCTTTCGTCTGACCTAGGGGCACTTTCAATATGTGTGAGAAAAACTGGGGAATTCCAAGAGAACCTGCAGAGAATTATTTTTTGAATTATTTTTCCTGATTTAAAACTGCAAAAGTAAACATCAGCACCAGATTTTAATTGGCTTCTTTATTCAGGTTCATTAGTTCTTCCTTTTGCTCTTGCTGGCAGACTTGGCCGGTGTAATAACGGGAACGGCTGCTTGGTAGAGGGCTGCTGATATCTTGTTGATGTAATACAAGGCAAACAGGGAGAATATCAAGCTAAAAATAGAAAAATGGCACAAGATTAGGTGGCAACTGGTAAAAACGTAATATAAAGAAGCAAAACAATTGAGCAGAAAGCCACTCACCAGGTGGTGACACAGACCCGATGCACTAAACCAGAGGCGAACAGTGAGAGAAACAGGCACAGCAGAACTGAAAGCAGAAAAAAAGAGAAGCGAATTTGAATATAAATATCAAAATGCATCTGTTCTTATAGTTTGCTGTGAATACAGATAAAGAAAATTTAAACTTAACTCTTATTCAAATGAAGCTGAAACATGGCAAAGCCATAAATCACAATACGAAGAAAAAACATTATGGTTATGAGTCAAGCTTTAATTCTTTCATCACTTACTCTCTGGGAAAATCTTGGCTTGGAACCCCTTCCCAAACATCAGGTTTTCTAGATTGTTGAATGCCTGGAAATGAAGTTAAGCTGCAAAGCCCCAAGGAATTAGTGCATTCATATGCTCCAAAAAACAAGAAGGAAGTAACAGAACCACTTTAAAAATCAGAAATTCACAAAAAGACGCATTTACAACTTGCTTTCATCCTAAGGATACAGTGAGAGAGCAGATGAAAAGGACGGAGCCCAGGAACCCTCCCAGGATGGTGAGCCACTCTGTGGATCCCAGCTGTTTACTGAACATCTGCATCCCAGCAAAGACCAGCACTGAGAGCAGACTGGAGAGCACCAGAGAAGTGCCTGTGTTCACCGCTATCAAAGAAACACAACAGATTAGGAGATAATAGAACTCAAATTCAAACCTTATGCATAAAATATGTTAAGTACAGGAGGGGATGAACCAAAATGTGGAACTTAGGTTTTGATATTATTGTGTGTCGTATCTCAGAGGACGAAGAACATCTGTTGACTGCAACACCTTTTATTGTGCACGTTCTTCATTTAATTACTTCTTTCGTGGAAAGTATAGAGAAGTAACCACAAAAAAAGTTACATCGATATATATTTTTCTTGATAAAATAAAATAAAGACTAAGAATTTGGCTATGTCAGTTGTAAAAATATACATACACCTTTGCTTTGCAACTAATCAACAAGAAATATGTAATCATTTCCCCCTGTAATTATTACTGGGGAACATGATTACAGAGTGGAAACACTGTTGTAATTATATAGATAAACTTCAATGGAGTAACGTATCATTAAATTATGCAATGAAAAGAAACAATGGTAATTTATTAAGGCTTCATTCAGCAACAAATAGAGAAGTTCTCATGAAATATCGGGGATAGATTAGTCTCAATTAAAGCACAGTATATGATCATTTATTTTGATGTATGACTTTATCCTCCTTCAGTTATTGACAAAAAACATAAAAGATGAAACAAACAGCATGTAGCACAGGTTAAAATGAGATTATTACAACTTTGTCAATGCAACTTTGTAATGCAAAGTTGTAATTACAACTTTGTTAATTACAACTTCTACAAACTAGGAAATGTAATGAGCGAAAGAAAAATACAATGAACCTACAATTAGTATTAAAACAAGAAACAGTAAGGGGTACATGAACTGATAATAGTCAATGAAAAATGACAAATTTGCTACTTTTGTTACCTTGTTGTGAAGGCAATATCAGGGATCACAAAAGATTTAGATTCAGTGTGAAAAAACAGAAAATTCAAGGTAAGCCAGCAAAATCTGCTATTTGTATCTACTTTGAGTTGTAATATATAGGAATCCTACATATTTTGATACCAAAGTATATATTTTTTTGCATCGGATCTCTATGTCTCGTTTTAGGTGTTTTTTTTAGTGTAAATACAAAAGTTCATTAGTAATGTATGGTGGGAGTATCTGTAGTGACCAGACTTTGAATAAGGCAGACATAAATCGACATACAGTGGCTGGATGGATTGATTTAGACTGCATGGTATGTAAAGCCTGGAAATACAAACATTAATACTGAGCTTTCATTTTTAATCCTTATTCAGACACACAAAATATCTAATGAAATCACAACTTCTGCAGTCTGGAACTAAGCATAGTATATGTTTAGATCACACTATGACTGAACATCTAATCTAAGTTTATGAATAGAAAAATAGCTGCTAATTAGAAAGCTAAATGACGATTTGTATATTTTCGTTCAGACGCTCTTGCCAAGTACATAAAAAAACAGTTGTCACAATAAAAATCAAATATATCGTTTCATTACATCGTCTGAGTTTAATTTCGCTGCTCGTTCTTACGCCACGTCAGTGTTCGCACACAAACGTCTCCGACGTAGCAGCTAGCGGCTAGCATTTGAGCAAAGCTGTATGATTTTACCACAACTCTGTATATAGAAAGCAGCAGCACAAACACACTTTACTTCTTATGCAGAAACGTTGATTAATTAAAATAAAAACTGGGGGTTGCTCTATGGGCCGGTTTGGTTAGCATAAAATATTAGCATTAGCTAGCTTTACTGTTGCAGCACCCACTATTTACAAACCTTTGAAAGACTGCACATCTACGAAACTATGTTGTCGATTAATATCAAATTAAAATACATACCCATGGCTACTAGTTAATTATGAATTCTTGAGATGAAAGAGGAGGGGAGATTTATTCTCGCAAAGCCAGATAATTCAACCGGCACTAGGACTGAAATAATCCGGAATATTAAACAGGACGGACCTGTGGGCGTGGTTAAAGGGTTTTTGGCATAATGCAGTATATCAACAGCACAAAACTGACGCTTGATTTTTCATTACTTTTGATGCATTATAAAACATGGTATTTTTAAAGACTTATTTCTTCACAAGCCAATTTAAAGTCATAAATAAAAAAGAAAGGTGCATCAATACATCGTTTACCTTTCCATGGGTTTGAGAACGAAAATATTTGAACATTAAATTATCCAGTTAGGTTACTTTTTTTTTTTCGAAAAAAAAAAAAGAAAGTTATGAGATTACGCATTCCCTGCAAGAAACATCATTTCAATGCATCAGAGAGCAGCCTAACTTATTGAAGTCTTAGGCCAGGGGTCACCAACCTTTTTGAGACTGAGAGCTACTTCATGGGTACAGAGCAACACGAAGGGCACTTGTTTGATAGTCTTTATAAGTGTATATGATAATACTGCCTGATCATATTAATGTCAGGACCACTCACAATCGTTATCAGTAATAATTTGCCATGGCAGCTATGGTTAATTGCTATTATGTGATTAGAAGTTTTTAGCTCACAGAGTTTTAAGTTTGATTCCCTTTTGGAGTTTTTCTCTGTGATTCTAAACTGGCCACAAGTGACTGAAATAAACAAAAGCAAACTGATGGATTGTTGCAGCTGTACTGAGTAGGCTACCTTGAAATTTTCTTTAAAAAAAAAAGAAAAGAAGAGTTATTGTTTTATTATCTAACCATCTGTTCTATTAGCAAAATGGTGGAAAATAAAATATATTTTGTGTCAAAACATATTATAGGCCTACACACACAGCTGTCAGTCTGATGCGTGAGGTGGGGAACCCCAAAGCCCAAGCCTTATTGGTCAGTTTGCTTTTATTTATTTCACGGCTTTGCGTTTTTCTGCAAGCTAAAAATGAACGAGTTGGGTTTGAACCTCCTGTTGTTCTACGTTCAGCCTGAGCTTCTGACAGTCTGCGCGGTTCTGGCGGGTTGCCGGTTTATTCGCTTTTTTTATGGTTTCGCGAACCGAATAGCTGACGGGTCCCACTGGCTGACACCAGCAGATGTGGAAAAAATAAAGGTCCGACACAAAACTATCA